TTAAAGTGACTGGGAGGGAAAGGCCTGACCTCTTAGGCTTTGCACTGCCCGCCCCACCCCATCCCCAGCACCAGCTTCCCAGCCTCCCCCTGCCCTTTCCGCTGACCTGGGGTGCACAGCCCCGTCATACCTTTAGTCCCAGGAAGTTATTCCCAGCCCCGAATCTCCTGCTGAGGGAGAGTTTTCCACACGGAAGAGAACCTGCTTTTTCTCACTGACACATTTCAGTGTCTTCCCTGGATCTTCTGGAGGACAGGTTTTTGTTGTTGTTGTTGTTTGTTTTGTTAAAAATATCCCGATGCCAACATCTCTAATTATATCGTTTGTGAAAACGCCGTGAGAGAGAAATCTTACGTCACTTCTAACTACATTCTAACTACATTCCTCTTGTCCAGGGCATCCCTGGGAGGAAGGCTGGGAGCTGGCAGGTACTCTCTTAATCTTTGAGTGACTCCATGAGTGACTGCCCTCCTCAGGAACCATTGTCACAAGGAGAGAGACCATGCTTGTTTTATTCAACTGCTAATAGCAACCCAATAGCAGTGTGTGTACTTTTTCTCTTACTCGTTTCTATTGTTTGAGATTTCCTATGTGCATATATAATGTGCTTTGATCGAGTCTAAACAGAATCCCCCTCCCTTCCACCACTTCTCCTACCCACCCCGCAACAGACATTTAGAAGAAGGGTCATCTATGTCACAGGATCACTGCCTCCTGCTTTCCTTCCATTGGAAAACTTCCAGGCGGGCTGGAAGGATTGCTCACTGTGGGAAATGCTTGATGTGCAAGCATCGGGACCTGAATTTGATTCCCAGCACTGTGCAAAAGCCGCATGCGCATTTGTAATCCTATCCCTGGACAGGAGGAGCGGGAGGGGGGGATCCCTGGGGCTCATTAGCAGCTAGCCTGCCTAGTCAGGGAGCCCCGTCCCAGTAGGAGACATTTCTTTTTTGTTTGTTTGGTTTTTTTTTTCGTTTTTTTTGTTTTGTTTTGTTTTTTAGAGACAGGGTTTCTCTGTGTAGTTTTGGTGCCTGTCCTGGATTTTGCTCTGTAGATCAGGCAGGCCTCGATCTCAAAGAGATCCGCCTGGCTCTGCCTCCCAAGTGCTGGGAGGCATGCACCACCACCACCAGGCATAGGAGACCTTTCTGAAGTAAACCTATGGTGCATGTGTACATGCATTCTCTCTCTCTCTCTCTCTCTCTATATATATATATATATATATATATATATATATATATATATATATATATATATATATATGCTATCCAAAACTTTCAGTGCTTTTGCCGTTAGAAAACACTTCCTTTTGTTGGAGAGTTGCACGCAGGGAAACCAACAGCCTGATTCACATCTGGACCCTTTCCTTACTCCTGTATTAGTTATTCCTCTGTTGCTGTGATAGAACACTGAGACCAAGGCAACTCATGGGCTTCCGGATGCAGAACATCTGAGTCTGTTGTAGCAGAGACAGCAAGGTATCTGGAGCGGCAAGCTGAGAGCTCACATCCTGAAGAAGCACAAAGTAGAGAGAGAACCAACTGGAAATGGCACAAGCCTTGAAACTCTGAAAGCTTGCCTCCAACAAGGCCCCAGCTCCTAAACATCCCCCAAACAGCACTACCAACTAGGCACCCATTCAAATACATGAGCCCACCAGGAAATTCACATTTCAGTCGCCACATTCTACTCCCTGGTGCCTGTAGGCTTGGGGCCATATCATAATGCAAAATGCAATTTCTTGATTGTAACCTCTTGTAGTATCAAAAAGCAAGTTGTATATTTCCAACATATGCTGGCACGGAATATATATTGCTATTCCAAAAAGGAGAAATGGGACGTAGTGAGGAAATACTGGGTGGGGTCTTGCCCTGAGGTCAGCCTTCTCTTTATTTTAGTGCAGATCAGGCCTCTGCTTCCTGGTGCCTATCTCCTTATCTCTTTCAGAACAAGCCTCAGCTGCAGCATTAGTTTTCTGGTGCTCTTTTTCTCTTTACATTGTACATTTTGTATTTCTTTCTTCCCTGCTTGCTATTTTTCATTGTAGACCTGCATAACAGTCATTAATAATAACCATGCCACAGAGAGCAATATTATGCTGCTTCCACCAAAGAAAGCAGTCCATTTCTTTCTGATTTAGCCTCAGACAGATTCCTAGGACAACAGCAGGAAGAAGCCACAGAGAAAATATTGCAGGAACAGTCTCTGGGCCCATTGTTAATATTGTTCTTCTCTGAAACTCACACTCTACATTGGCATCAGTACCTACTGTCTTCTAAGCTCCTACTAGGATGGCCCATTAAGCTCTGCTTACCAATTCAAACACATTTCTAGTCCGAAGTTCCGGAATCTTTTAGTATTCCTCCCAAAAACAATATGGTAAAGTTGTGAACAATGACACCCCACTCCTGGAATCAAATTCTCTATTACTTACTTTTCTGTTGCTGTGATAAAAACACTGTGACCAAGGCCACTTACAGAAGGAAGAGTTTGTTTGGACTTACAGGGTGTGAAGAGTGCATGATGTCAGGGAGGTCATGATAGCAGGCAATAGGTACAGCAAGCCGAGAGCTCACATGTTGAACAAGCCAAAACAGAGAGATCCAGTGGGAAAGGACATGAATCTCTAAAGCCACTCTCAAAACCTACCTCCACTGGTATACTTCCTCCAACAAGGCCACACCTACTAAACACCCCTAACCAGCATAACCAGCTGGGGGGGGGGGGAGGGACACACACACCACATGATCAAATACATGAGGCTGTGTATTTGATTTTTGAAATTTGAAAGACAGAAATTCTCATTCAAACCACCACACTCCTTTCCGTGCCCCAGTTTACCCCATCTGCATGTGGAGACAAGCAATAGTACCTATTTTGTAGGATTGTTCTGAGTATTAAATTAGTTTCTGTAGGTGAAGTGTTGAAAACCATTCTATGATATGTGGGCTCAATAAATATGGATAAAACAGTGTGGTGATGGTCTGATCAGTAATGCCATCAAGATATAGCCCAGTGGAAGAGTGCCTGCTTACCATACACAAGGTTCAGATTTTGATGCCCAGCACCACAATTAAAACAATAACAACAGCAACAATAATAATTGTAATAGGATGATTTGTGTTACATCATTCCAGTTGAATAAATCTTTTAGCATTACTTCCTCAAAATGTCTAGAATAACTTTATCTCTTTTCTTACTATTTTCACATTAAGTAATTTTTCTAAAGGAAGGCTGATTAAGAAATATGATTGCTGAGTGTGGTGGCATACACCATTAATCCCAGCATTCTGGACACAGAGATAGGTGGATCTCTGTGAGTTCAAGGCCAGCCTGATCTACATAGAGTTCCAGGGCAGCCAGGATACAGTGAGATCTTGTCTCACAGGAGGAGGAGAAAAGGGCAATTTGAATTGATTCCTGCACAGTTTATATTTACTATAAAAAATTTAGTTCCATGAAGGTAATGAGTCAGTTGTTTTTTTTTTCTCCACATCCATGTCAGATAAGGTTTTCTATTTGAAATATTTCTATAATATTGTCCCCCATATTTGCATATTTCTCGTGTATTTTCTGGAGGAAAAGATTAATAAAATATTACTTGTCATTTTAAAATCATAGAAAACTACTAAGAATGGAAGATTTTCTTCCTTGAAAGATTATTTTCATACATTTCAAGAGCTTGCTTCACATAGAGCTTAATAATATTTCTGTATGTTTTTCTTTTTTACATGGTGAATTCAGAAGTGTGGGATTCAAAGTTTCAGTTGTGAAGAATTGTTTCTAGCTCTCTGTTAAGAATAAGTTAGGGGGCTGGAGAGATGGCTCAGTGGTTAAGAGCACTGGCTTCTCTTCCAGAGGACCCAGGTTCAATTCCCAGCACCCACAAGGCAGCTCACACCTATCTGTAATTCCAGTTCCAGCGCTTCTGAAATCCTCACACAGACATACATGTAGACAAAACAGCAATGAACACTAAATAAAAATAAATTACGTATAAATTTTATATATATGTAAGAGAGAGTGTGTTAGGAGTGCAGAGAAAACAACATAAAACCTTTAATTATATTCCACACCTAAACTGAAAATTCAACAGAAATCTGGACTTTGGGCTGGAGTTGACTACACATAAATGTGCTCATAATCACTGATCTGTGGGCTAATTTTGTCCTTCCTGAGCTTTGCAGCTGCTAAAAATACAGCTAGTCAAGAAGCTGCTTGTAGTTCCCTATCTAAACTTCCCTTCATTTTCTGTTTGGTTTCCGATCATTCTGACTTTAAAAGGCAATTTTTGTTACAAATAAGGAATAAATATGGAAAATAGTGTAGGAGCAGTAGACAGGGTATCTGGAATCTCTCTCTCTCTCTCTCTCTCTCTCTCTCTCCCTCCCTCCCTCCCTCCCTCCCCCTCTCTCTCTCTTTCTCTCTCTGGCACTCAGGTGTAAGCTGGTGCAGGACAGGGCTGCTTTCTGCGTGACTTGTCAGGAAGCCACTGGCCTTAGGAATTAGGTTGACGTCATTTCACTTTTATTCTCAACCCCAAAAGCTTCACTACCAGCTTGGTGGGATGAGCAGAAAAAAAAAATCTCTTGAATCATATAGATAATGGTAGAAAATAAAAAAATTGAAAACTAAAAACAAATAGGAAATAAAGGGTTAAAAACACAAGGTATTTGGCTTGAAAGGAGTGGGGAGTTGAATTGCAAACCTCCAGGAGAGCCACAAAACTGAATTAATTATTTAATAGAAACAGAAACAGAAAAAAAGGAACATGGTTCCTCTATGTGACATGTTTGGTATTTCAAGGGTCTCCAGTGTTTGTCATGGAGATACGTTGTTGCAAAGATATCTGTTGCAAAATATAACTTTGCTGTGTGGTCAGTGTAGTGTGGTGACTTGGCCTCTGCTGTCCGTCTGTTTAGCCTGACTTGTGTGTGGCATGGAGGTGTGTGGTGGTAATTAGCCAGAACTGCTCATGTGTAAAACCCTCTGCTTTCTAGATTCTCGCCCGATGGAAGATTAATCGTGTCGTGTAGTGAGGATAAAACTATCAAAATTTGGGATACTTCAAGTAAGCAGTGTGTGAATAACTTCTCAGATTCCGTCGGGTAAGTTCATTCTCTGTACATGTATTTGGATCTGCTTGCTAAGGAGATCGTGTGTTATAAGCGACTCAGACTTTAAAATGAAGGTAAAGAAATGGAAATGTCAAGTCCTTCATATTCTTTCTTCCTAGATTTGCAAATTTTGTGGACTTTAACCCTAATGGTACATGCATAGCCTCAGCAGGTTCTGATCACACTGTGAAAATCTGGGATATCAGAGTGAATAAATTACTCCAGCACTATCAAGGTAACAGTTCCCCCAACCAGGGAGAAGTGTCACTGTCAAATGGCCGGGAAAAGGAAAGGCTGGGAAAGGCTTGTGGCTGGGTTGTAGATCTCTTCCTGGGGTCAGAGGCTGGTCTTAGCTGGCTAGAGAACACAGCAGTTGACTCCCACCAACAGAAGAAACGAGAAGAGAAAGAAAGATACAAAAGATGTTCATTTTACATTTTAATGAAAAGCAGAGATGAAAATGTATTCCATGTGGCCATGTTGGGAGTGAAATAGATAAAGGGCCCGTTGACCCGCAAGTCAGTCTTGGGGAGCTTAGGAAGAACTGAGGCAGGATGCAAGGAGGTATTCGTATTGAAACAGTCCTGGCCAGGGCTTCCTTGTCTGAGTCTGTAAAGGAGGCAGAGAAAGTCCCTTTAATTCCTCTGCTGAGGGGATGAATCTGCTTCCTATACTCATTTCGTTTCTGCCACCATGGTGAGGCTCGCCTTCGTGGATAATTATCCTCCTCTGGGAGATTAGTCTGTTCCAAGAGGTCTTGTTTTTCCAGGGGTCCAAAGTGACTACACGTTTAGGACATGTATGTGTTTATGTGTGTATTCTTAGCCATAGCTAAGGAGACAGACAGACACAAAATGAGGGCAAAAATCCCAGGCTGTCCATTTCTTGTGGCCCAAATAAAGAGCCGTCATTTTAGCAAAAGCACCTTCTAAGCACCCATTTCAGTTTTTCCCTGTGTTTAAATATTACTCAATAATAAATGAGTGCTTGAGAAGAGAACAGGCGGTAATGACTGGGCATCCATGTGAAATGAGCCAGATGTTTAAGTCTAAAAGTGGAAATCCCAATACCAAATAGGATACTAGCATCCAAAGCTCACCCCCCCAAAAAAAATCCAATGAAATAAAATCTATAGGGAGTCATCTTCCTGGCTAATTGCTCTGAGTATGGACTACTGAGAATGGACTCTGGAGGAAGGAGGTGTCTGTCAACCATACTGAAGAACCATTTCTCTATAACCCCTTGGCTGCAGTTACATTTGGAAGGGCTCACATAAGTAACTGTTTTAGTTGTTCACTTTGAGAGAGGGTCTTCCTATATAGACTAGGCTGGCCCCAATCATGACCCTCCTAAGTGATGGGACTGTAGGTATGTACCACCATGCCTCGCATGATTTTATTTTGACTTTGAAGACATCCCCCATTCGCTATGAACAGTTTTCTCTGAAGGCATGGCTGATTCATCATCTAGTGATGATCATAACTGTCCTTAGTCACTAGGCTGAGAGCTGTCCCCATTGATCTGATCTGGTTCTGTGTCAGGTAGGGGAGGGGAGATGAACTATGACAAGGAGCCAGTGTCAAGAAGGCTCCCTAAATGCCATCCTTCCCCTTTGTAGCCAAATTCAAGTAAATAAGAAGCATAGAAGGCCCTTAAGTTGGAATTCATTCTTAATTTAATTCTATCTGTCCTATGGGTGATAACCTGGCATCTTGATAATCCTTAAGTCATTTTGTTAGAAAATGTATTTATACAGAGTATTAGCAGACAACAGAAAAAAAAATGTTCTAAGGAAAATAGAAATCACTACCAACAAGAGCAAATATTTAAAGACATGGGATTGAAAAATAAATATGTATTAGGGTCATTTTTCCGGCGTTTGATTCTAAGTGCTTTGGACAAGGATCAAAACTGTGGGAACCAAAAGTCTTAGAACACTCATATTTAGAATTCTGCAGGAAGTTGAAAAATTGAGACTGGAGCCATAGGTCAGTGATTAAGAGCACTTGCTGATCTTGTAGAAGACCTGGGTCCAGTTCCCAACACCCACATGGCAGCTCACAGCTGTCCACAACTCCAGTTGCAGGGGATCTGGTATCCTCTTCTGGCCTCTGTGGGTACCAGGCACACATACACACAGTGCACATATGTACATGCAAGCTTAACACTTTACACATAACATTTTAAAGTAAGTAAATGTTTTTATAAAAAAAAAAAAAAAAGGAAGTTGAAAAATTGACAAAATGGCCTTGGTAATTTCATTGCATTCAGTATTATAATTGATAGCATTATGACCATCAAGCTGTCCTAATTCTCTTCTTAGAAATACATTTAAATTTGCATCCATTGAAAGGATGGTATAATTTATCAATAACAGGATACTTTTATATATAAGTTCTGTTCAATTTTGTCTTTTTTATAATTTTTTTATTTTTGAGATTATAATAAAATTATATTATTCCCCCCCTTCCCTTTCCTGCCACCAAACCCAAACTTTCATGACATCTCCACCCCTCCCCCACTTTCTTTCAAATCGTCGCCTCTTTTTCTTTAATTGTTGCAATGTGTGTATGTGTGTGTATGTGTTCCTAACATCATAAATACAACCTGCTCAGTCTGTATAATGTTACTTGTATTCGTACAACACAACTCCTCCTCCTCCTAAGGCTCAGGGATCGTTGCAGAAAGACTGTTGTAAGAGCCAGAGGAACAGGGAGTTTGCCATGAGATTGTGTCTCCTAAATATGTGAGAAGCTGCACCCATGAAGCCCCACCAGTATGGCAGCCTAAACATGAGCTGAACAAGGAGGACCCCAGTAGACATGCTGACATGGAAAGACAGAAAGCTAAGAGGCCTCCAACCTAGATAAGGAACTTCAGGCAACTAAGGAATGTGAGAGTAAAGAAATAGTCTTCCCCAGGGAAGAGCACACCAATTGATTATTTGATACTGTGTGGCCCTGAAAAATATATACATCGGAGTCATTTTGTCTTCTAAGAGTAAACAAAGGTTTTCTAAATAAAGTAGATGGACTTGTTTGGAGATATCCTCTGTAGGTAGAGTTTTTCTGTGTCCCAGCAGTGGCTCCCAAATAACCACAAGAGACTTAATATTAATTATAAATGCTCGGCCAGTAGCTCAGGCTTATTTTTAGCTAACTCTAATAACTTAAATTAACCCATTTCCATTCATCTGTGTGCTGCCCCATGGCTTGTTTACCTCATGTATGTGCTTCCCATCTTCCTTGCTCTGCATCTCGTGGCATCTCCCCAGACTCTGTCCTTCTCAGCATCCTCTTAGTCTAGCTTTCCTGCCCAGTATCTTCCTGTCCAGCTATAGGCCAGTCAGCTCTTTAGTTACCAATGGGAGTAATCGTATTGACAGGGTGCAAAGATTGTTCCACAGCGGTCCCCCTTAGGTCCCCATTGTCTGTGCTTTTAAAGACTAGGGAAGCACACTTGGAGGATATAATGGAAGGTGTTCTAGTTAACTCTGCTTAGAAATGATAGTCAAGATACAAGTGGGAACTTGTGAATACAAGCCTGGGAAAGGATTAGTACCACTAACAATTCTAGGGGAGATGGCGTAGTGGGTAAAGGATTTGCTGTGCAAGCCTTGAAGGCCCAAGTTAGGTTCCCCAGGTCTCATAGAAGCCCAGTGGAGCAACACAAACATAACCCCAGTTCTGTGTGGGCAGAGATGGGAATCCCAGGGTCTCGCTGACCATCCTGTCTAGCCAAAATGATGAGCCACAGATTTAGAGGCAAACTGTCTCTCAAAAAACGATATGGCGATAAAGGAAGACTGGCCATCTGATGTCAACCTCCGGCCTGGCTCACTCACCCAGAGAACACACACATACACATGGTTCTAGTTTGGACGAAGGCAACTTAGTAAAGTGTTCTCTTAAGATTTCCATTCTAGAAGCTTATCCATTGGAGGAACATAAATACATTCAACCTACCAAGGAGTCCATAACCACTAGCATCAGAGCTACATACTTCATCAATATAAGTTTATCTCCTACTTCTGAAGCAAAAATGTGGAATTCCTGACCTAGTAAGATAATAGATCTATAGGCAAAAAATAAAATTGTAAATTACTCACAAATTTAGGGCCCAGTGCTAGTGTCATAGACAGACTTATCTTCTGATGTACATGTGCATCTCATAATCAAAAATCAAAATGCTTACTCGCCCAAGCCAAACAGATTATTGCTTAAAGGAACACATATTGGTCACTTTGAATGTATTAGCATGGTTTTTAAGTCTACATTTTCACATACTATGTAGATGAAATTCTGACATATACTCTGTGTCCAGACATAGACATATATGGTAGTAAATGTAATAGAATTTCTTTTACATATTAGTTATTTCTAAAGTGGTCACTTTGAAGGCTTTAACTCAGCAGATACTTGAGCAGACCTTGACTTTGTTAAGACTGGGTCAGAAACCCTTACCATCAACAGAGAGGCACCCTTGTTATTAATGTTGATTCTTCTTTGTAAGGGTTACTAAGAGCAGAACAGTAGCTTTTTGAAGTCTTACTGCCTTAGATGTAAAGAATTAGGTTCAAACCTTACAACGGTGCATTAACTTTTGGCCTTAGAAAATCATCTAGACAAATTTATATTTTGAAACACCTTTTCCAAAAGCTTTTTGATGCTAGGCAATTGTTTTTTCTTTTTGTTTGTTTTTTTTCTTTTTTTAAAAACTTTCATTGATTCTTTATGGGTTTCCCATCATGCATTCTGATCCCACTTTGTCCCCTCACATCCACCCTTTGCCCTTGCAACTTTCTCCCCCCAAATCCAAACCAAATTTAAAAGATAAACCAAAAGCCAAACAATACAAAGCAGAAACAAACAAACAAAAACCACAAAAAATAAATAGAGAAGAATCTTGTCGTGGAAGCTGCAGTGTGGCCCATTAAGTCACAGTTTACCCATTGAGTCACAGTTTACCCATCAGTCCATTCATCTTTACTTGCAAGTATTCATAGGCAATTGGTTTTATTTATTTTTTTTCTAGGACTTCAGAATTAAACTGAGGGCCTTGTAATTTTACTACATCTCCAGTCCAAAAATTATTTCTTGATAAAATAAAATACCTTATGCCTTTTCATAGGTTTTTCATCTATATGGCTTAAATTCTTTTATATATTTTTTATATATTATTTTTTAATATCTCTCCTAGATATAAAATTCCATGTATTAATTAAAATTTAACTCTAAATAATCTTTCAGCAAAGAAGCAAAACTTGAAGAAAGGAATCTTTTTTTTTTTCTTTTGGTTTTTTTGAGACAAGATTTCTCTGTGTTGTTTTGGTGCCTGTCCTGGAACTCACTCTGTAGACCAGGTTGGCCTCGAACTCACAGAGATCCTCCTGGCTCTGCCTCCCGAGTGCTGGGATTAAAGGAGTGTGCCACTACTGCCCAGCAAAGAAAGCAGTCTTAATCTATTTCTCTATAACTGGCAATGTATAAAAACACAGTTGTTAATAGTTTGTATTTGTTCATACAAATGAGAGATGGATTCAAATTGGGTTTATAAGCAAATTAAGATTACCTGCTTACAAAACTAAATGAAAAATGTGTCCTTCAAGCCTTATCTAAGCAGGCATCAACAGCTTGGTTTTAAAATGACCTTTCCCTCTCTTCCTTCAATTCCACCATCTACATTGAATTCTTAAATGCTTGCATGTCAGGCCTTGCTAAAAAAGATCTTGAAAAGCTATTTTTTCCCCTTTCAAAATAACAAAACAAAATGGCGGCAGCAAAGTAGAGAAATGGGGGTGGGTGGGTGGGTAGGGTAGCAGACAGACCAGGCAGAAACTGCTATAAATATGTAGTCTAAAAATCATCACAAAACACTCTTTTCTATACATTTCAAAGTAGACCTGCCAGGAATGGCAGTTTGCCTGTGTGCCCCCCCCCCTTTTTTTTGTCCCTGTTTTCTTAGTCTTTTGACTAGAGGCTCATCTTGGAAGCCAAAGCAAGTACCAATCCTCAACAAAGTGTTGTGCCAGTAAGATGTAATGTTTAATAGTGATTCCTTCTTCGAGTGTCACCCTGGGCATGTCTCAGGAAGCCCCAACACGAAGGAGTTCAGTGTGGGCACCTCTTGGCTGAACTGTTGGGGTCCTTCCAAGCCAAGAATGCACTTTGTGGTTCCCTGTGAGACCTCAGCACAGCACGTGGCCTGACACCTCAAGACTCTAGTCCCCCAGAGCAGGCCAGAGGGAGCATTTGTCTCTTCTACTCAATTCATTTCGAACTAGACTGTTGCTGTAGCCAAGTAGCTTTAATAGTTAATTAAGTTATTTTATAGTTTAGTAATATGGCACACAAAAACAGTTTACGTGATTCACAGTGCAATCTTAGATAAGCCACCAGAAGCTACAAAGGACAAGTGAGAATACTCCCTAAGGGTTCCAAGATAGCACAAACTTCATATCCCATGGTGATATAAACTACACTAAGATATCCAAAACACTGCAATTTCTTGGTATACCTTATATCCACTCTCTGCTAGTTACCAACACAGAATTATGGAACTCAGCCATCCCTGTCATACCGGAAAATCCCCAAATGGTTTAAAGACTCCATAGTGGCTCAGAAGATAAGGGACCACAAAAATTCAAACTAGTTCAGAAGGAACCCAGGCAGCTCCGAACTGACAGGGGAAAGAGAGGGCCGGGGCTCAGGTGCACTGATTGGGAGAGCTTCAAGGGCCTAAAGAGGCCAGCCACTCCTCTCTCCACCTCGCCAAATCCAAGCAGAAAGCAGCTGAAGTCAGCCGGGCGGTGGTGGCGCACGCCTTTAATCCCAGCACTTGGGAGGCAGGCAGATCTCTGTGAGTTCCAGGCCAGCCTGGTCTCCAAAGCGAGTTCCAGGAAAGGTGCAAAAAGCTACACAGAGAAACCCTGTCTGGAAAAACCAAAAAAAGAAAAAGAAAAAAAAAAAGAGAGGAAAAAAGAAAGAAAGCAGCTGAACTCAGCCAAAGTGAAGAGATCAGAAAAGTTCCCGGGCTAAAAGTGATTCAGCAGCAATGGGGACCACCAGTCTCTCCACTCCATCTAGGCTTCATGGGCCTGCGGGGATGATGTGAAAAAGGTGTCTTTGATCCTGGTTCAGTTTGACAAAGTTGTACCCAGAGATTTTAGGGCAGAAACGTTGGCCCTGGCAACTCCTAAAAGCTCACCTTGGCCACACATCCCCAGTCTGCCAATTAAAGAAAGAGAGGAAGAATACTGAAAAGCACAGTGAGATATAGTCAATGTGGCCGCATTGGGAAGAGGAATAGATAAAGGGGTCTGGTGTCAATGCCCCCCACCCCATCCATCTCTTTAAAGGGACTTTAAAACTGACGTAGGAACCATAAAAACAAAGTTACTATGGTAGTTTCGCTCTGGTTGCCTGCTCAGTGGGAAAATCAGTTGTTGATATAATCCCAAATGAATGGGAATAGCTAACTTGGAGGAAACGGCTTCCTTCTGTGTGGGTGTACTAAAGCTGAAAGAGAACGGAATGGTTTTCTAGGTTTATATTAGCTTTATATTAAATTTACATTGGTGTGCATGAAGATAATCTCTACCACTTACTCCATGATTTCTCTGTGGCAGATAAACAAGTCAAGCCTTACACAGTTCCCAATAGGCATCATTACTTCTTTTTGTTTTAAGGGTAAGAAAATTGATGGAGTAAACTTAAGGCTGTGGGACATCGTGTATAGAAACCATACTTTTTTCATCACTGTATTGTACTGCCTCCTATTGGAAGGACGGTGTCCAGAAGGGAATTCTCCTTCACATACACCTCCACACTCACCGCTGCGTACTCCCAAGTACCCAGTTGCTCTTTAAATTTGATGTGAGGCTGGATTACAGAGCTTATACGAACTGATAATAATCAGCTATTAATTATTTTGGTAATATAGCCAAAGACTTTATAGCTGTGTGCCCAATAATACTCTCTTGGCGACACACTCTCATTTCCGATGTGATTCTGTCTCTAGCTGGAAGCTTCATGCCACATGATGTTAGAACGTTTAAATGCTCTGGGGAGCTCTGGCTTTGCTGTGACAGAGAGGCTGCCTCGGCTGATCCTGTCTTCACAGCAATGCTGATAACAAAGCAAAGGAAATGCTTCAAACTTAAGAATCCTTCTCTGACAACAATTAACAGGGTCATAAAGAAGGCCAGTTATATCAAATTACAGTTATGATGTTAAAGACATCGTAAAGAAACCATTGTTTCCTGAAATTTTTTTTGTGTTTTTTCCCCCTACAAATTAGTTCACAGCTGCGGTGTGAACTGTCTGTCATTCCATCCTTTGGGTAACAGCCTGGTCACTGCCTCTTCTGATGGAACACTTAAGATTCTGGATCTCCTAGAGGGAAGACTCATATACACACTTCAAGGACATACGGTACCAACACTAAGATTTCTGTTTCAAAATAAGATACTTCTTAAAGTTTGGTCCCATTTATTATATGCCTTTATTATTCTTTTAGTAGTAATGTACATTTGCTGTTACTCCTAGAATTTGATTTTTTACTTTTAAATTTTGGGGGTTTTATTATTTGTTTTTTGAGACAAGGTTTCTCTATGTAGCCCTGGCTATCCTGGAACTCTCTCTGTAGACCAGGTTGGGCTTGAATTCATAAAGATCCACCTGCCTCTGCTATCCGAGTGCTGGGATTAAAGGCGTGTGCCACCACCGCTGCCGCCACTGCTGCCACCACCACCACCACCACCACCACCACCCAGCACACTTCTAAGTTTTTAATCTCTAGAAACAGCTCTTAAAAATATTATTTATTTCAACTCTTCAAAAACAGTGGCTTTAGCCATCTATTGTTCTGTCCGTGTGTAGCACAGGCTATACTGCTTCGATGGAGTATAATATGTATATATTTCCCTCACGAGGATGCTGGCTCACTACCTCTGATACCCAGCCTCTTGCTCCTCTCCCCATCCCTCCTTCCCTAATCTGATTGGTGAGTTTAGGGAAATTCACCAATCGGAGCCTAACACCTGCTCCCCAGCCCCTGCCCTTGCCCGGGAGCTGGCCTATGCCTGGGAGCCCGCCTTTACTGTTTTCTTCTGATAATTCTTGTGCCAAGACTTGTCCTCACCCGGTGTGGCCTGTCATTGGGCCATCACACCTGGCTCCTTCTAGAATACCCACTTGCCTCCCAGTAAGCAATATTCCCCTTTTAACAAACTTACTGGAGAGAACTTTCTATTGGCTCTGGTGTTCCTTAGTCTTTTGTCTTATTTCTCAGTTGGTTTAGGAAAACATTGATATTGTTTAAGTCTGTAAACTATTCTCTTATGGGTAAATATTCAAAACTTTTTAGAACTAATTCTTTGTTTTCTGCCTTTGCACTGGGTATTTTCTTTTAGGTGAATATAAGCTGTTCCTAGCTCAAAACAGAATGGCTTTGTGGTCTAGAAGAGAAAGGTTCTTTCTGCCCCATCTGTCCCGCCCGACTTCCTTCTCTGCTCATTTCCTCTACAACAGGGTTAGGGCAAAGAGAACCAGCTCAGTCGCATGCAGACATGGGCGTGTTGCACAAATCGTAATTGGTCTTATTAATAAAAACCTGGAGCCAGATAGGTTTATGTTTCAACAGGGTAAATGTTGAAAGATCAGAGAAGGAGAGCAGCCAGCCACTAGAGTTTTTACTTCTACCGAATCCTCACACTGAATGCCTCTGATTCCTCAGCCAAAAAAGCGCCAAACTCCTGTCTCCTGCCTTATATTCCTTTCTGTGCCCAGCCCTATCACTTCCTGTCTCAACCTTCCTAGTGCTGGGATTAAAGATGTGTGATCTCCAAATACTGGGATTAAAGGTGTGTGCCACCACTGCCTGGCTCAGTTTCTCTTTTAGGCTGGATTAATCTCATGTAGTCTGGGGTGGCTTTGAACTCACAGAGAGCCACATGGATCTCTGCCTCCTAGAGATTAGAATTAAAGGCATGTGCCACCACTGCCTGGCCTCTATGTTTAATTTAGTGGCTGGCTCGGTCCTCTGATCTCAGGCAAATTTTATTTGTTAGAGTACTTGCAAAATATCACCACATGTGTGTTTAGGGAAAATAAATACAATCAATAACAATGGCTAAGGGTTGACCCATCTGGAAAGTAATACATAATCAGGAAAACAATAGCACAGCATTTAGGAGAAAAACGCTGCACACAGATGACATGTCCATCTAGAAGTAAAGGTGTGTGTGAACTGCAGCCTAAGTCTGTAACAGGGTGTCCTGGTTACTTTCCTGTTGCTGATAAGAAGACCTGGCAAGCAGCTGAAGGGAGGAAGGTACTCCATTACAGTTTCTGGGGGGGTGGTCTACAGCGTCATGGCACCGGGGACCTGAGATCAGCCTGTCACTGCTAGTCTGGAAGCAGAGACAGAGAACATGAAGTGGGACCAGGCTATAAAACTGCAAGGCACACCTGTAGTGATGTGCTTTCACCTCCTGAAGACTCCTTCCTTACCTTCCCAGACCGCACTGTCAGCTGGGAGTTAACTGTTCATGCGTGGAAACCTATGGGGGCATTTCCCATCCAATGCATAACACAGGTATATGGGAGTAAAGCAAGAGGTTCTTTCCAAACCTTTGTATATCAGTTCAAGTGTATGTTAAAAAATAAACAAACGTTAACATTTCAAGATGAGGAATAATTCCTCCAATCTTGATGGACTGAAAGGTTATGCATCTTGATCTCGTGCAAAGTGAAGATGTCCAACTTCAGAGGAATTGTTGAATTTTAAGCGCTTATTATCTCTCGGGAGATGATAACTTCCCCCACCCACCTCCAGCTGTTCTCGGCTGCTCATCTCCATGGTTGTACTGCTGACTTTTCCGACTTGAAGCTCTCCTCCTGTGTCCCATTCCTAAACTTTTAGTGGCTCCCTGTAGCCTGCTTTGGAAGAGAACCCAGCGGGGCCTGATATGGTCAGGAAATGACCTGTACTTACGTTCCCTCAATGCCATCGTTTTACATTTATTGTTTAGTTTTTATTAGTAATTGGTTAAATGCAAACCAGAAAGCTAGAAAAGGTTTGACAGAAATTCTTACCAGCTTATACGTGTGCAAACTTTTCTTAAAGGGCGAAAACAGCCGTTCCTTCTTTTGCTTATTATCGCTTGTGTTCTACCATACTTGGGTTGGTTCTGTATCTGCACTCGGCCACCATTGATTGTTAGCTACCGGATGCGCCCACCGGACACTAGTCACTGGGTGACAAATTAGAACACAGAAGTGGCACTCAGTCCTGTTGGCCTTGAGAAAAGAGCTCTCAACACTCTTCCCTTGACTCCCCTTTGTCTTTTAGGGACCTGTCTTTACGGTTACATTCTCAAAGGATGGAGAGCTGTTTACGTCAGGAGGTGCGGATGCGCAGGTCTGTACACCTTTGATTTGGATCCAAGGACCTGACTTACATCTTTAGGACCCTCATCACTAGCTAGGCTGTGCATGTTGAGATGATTACCAGTAGATTTTTGTGTTAGTGTCCTGTTTGCTGTCACACAGATGAAATAGTTCCAGTTGAATAGTTTTAAGAATTCCACGGGTATTTTCTCTTGCTCTATTTTAAACTTAACAATACATTTATTTGACACTGAATGCCCAGTTTCAGTGGCCTTCTACCCCAATTATTGCCTAAGATTTTGTCTGTACTTCTTATTTCTTCAAATGTTGAGCTGCCTGAGGGGTTATAAATCAAAATCATTGATGAGGCAAATCTACATTTACGTGAGATGACCAAAAATCATTCATAGCCAGGTTATTGAATAAAATGATCAAGTCAAAAGCATGGTATGGGGCTTCTAGTGAGGGGCAGAGAGAAGTGTTTTAAGTTTATAAAAGACCACCTAAGTAAAAATTTGGTTTGGTTTGGTGTAGTTTGAGTTTGGGTCCTGGGGGGGTATTTTTGAGACAGGATCTGTCTCACTGTGTATCACTGGCCTGGAACTCACTAGCTAGGCCAGGCTGGCTTCAAACCTACGATGTTCCTCCCAGCTCTGCCTCTCAAGTATGTGTCCTGCACACCCAGCTCCGAGTAGACATTTTAAGTTGGGCATGAAAGCAATTCAGAATGCTGCATCTCCTCCGTGCCATGCCTAAAATATTGAAGAACAATGACAGACATGTGTGTCTCTACGCACAGACGTTCTGACTGCTCAGAACAGTTTTTGATGTTTGGCTTTTTAAAATCAGCTCTGAGGTTTCAGATGCTGGCCAATAACTACCGACACCTCTGACTCTTTGTAGGTCTTGTTGTGGAGGGCTAACTTTAATCAGTTGCGCTGTAAAGATCCTAATAAAAGAAACCTCAAAAGACTGCATTTTGATTCCTCACCACACCTTCTCGACATCTACCCACGATCACCACATCCCCATGGAGAGAAAAAGGAGACTGTTGAAGTGAGTATGTTGTACACATTTGTCCTACGTTTTATGATCACTGTAGGGCTGTTATTGAACCCAGTGCTTAAAATTATACTGATTTATATAAAACCTGGTCCTGCCCCCCAAAACAACAAAGCTTTGAGAAAGTCTGTTGTTTTTACTACTAAAATAAAACCATAGGTGGACAGTATGAATAGCTCTCAAATTCGCTTGACATGAGATGAAATGTATTTCTTGACAGCTCAGAAATAAAGCTAAACATTGTGTTGGCAGGAATAAAAATGAGAAATCAAGTCTAAGGCTGCAGAGTCTGAACTTGCTGCCTAACCAGTCTCTTGGGGAGAGAGGTGGTTTGATAAACCTCATAAGAATAGGACTGAATGGCAAGTGTTTTTATACCAACTAATGAAACAGGTTTCCAGAAACCTTTTATAGCCAAACAAACTAACAAATCCACCTATAAACATTTAAAGAAAACATTTATCATTAAATAGAATAATTGAGGCCATATTAATGATTGAGACCATTTTGTTGTTGCTTGTACATACACACGCGCGCGTGCGTGTGCGTGTGCATGTGCGTGTGTGTGTGTGTGTGTGTGTGTGTGTGTGTGTGTGTATGAATGTATTTTTACCTTTACAGGCCTGCAAGATGGCTCAGTGGTAAAGGCACTTGCCACACTAAGCTTGACGTGATCTAAGTTCAATCCCCAGATCCCACATGGTGGGAAGAGAGAACTGATTACCACAAGTGGCCCTCTGACTTTATTTAACACACAACCACGCTTCCTAAATGAATTCATTTTTGTAATAGTTTACCTTTCCAGGAGTGGTTTGTTGCATTCTTGCTTTAAATACCATACTGGTCTTGAACTCAACAATGATCCTCCTGTCTCAGTGTCCCAAGTACCAGGAATACAGGCATGAGTCTTCTTATCATTTGTTGAATGGAAGGCATTTGTTGACGTATTCTCTTATTTTAGCCCATCAATATGTTTTTCTCCAGTCAAAGAAGAATCCATTTTTACTGAATCCTCAGCTCATGTTAGGCTTCTTAGTTCATCTTTTACAGTTCTTTCAAGTCCAGTTCTGTTCCAAGAGCAGATATCAGAAATCACAATTTCCCTGCTCATTTGAGTTTGGTTTTATGTTGTTACAGAGCTTTGACTTTAGAGTAGTTATTTTGCTTTCTTATATTTTCTTGTTGTTTTGGTTTTTGAGACGAGGTCTCCTGTAGCTTAGACTGGCCTTGAACTTACTTTGTGGTGGAGGATGACTTTGAACTCCTAATCTGTCTGCCACTGTTTCCCAAGCGCTGATCCCGGGCTGCTGAGCACGGAGACTTTATCTGAATGCAGGAGCCCAAGTGACTCCCCCAGTCACCTCCTCTATGCCCACCTCAGTCATTCTGAGGGCTGGTTTCACCACTCATGGTCGTCGTCAGGCCTCTCCACTCCTCTCGCCTGAAGCATCCACACCTCATGAGCTGGGTGTTCTCGCTGCCTTCGCTTGTTTTGAAATAGGGCTCTCGATGCTCATTCACACTGATTGGGAACTCCGTATCCCCCAAATGCTGGGACTTCCACGTGTTCACCATCACACCTAGGGGGTTTCTTCTTAAATTTTGTCTAATCCAGCTGAATTTGGGGATTTCTACTCTTGTTTCTTATTGGCAGTGTTGCTTTTTCAATTCTTTTCTGTATTTTTATCTTTTTGAGTAATATTCTGAGTATTAGTCACTATGCTTTGTTACATTTACATTTGTCATCATTACGCATGTGTGCATTCATGTGTGCTTGCACTTGTGTGTGTTTGTGCCTGTGTGTGTTTGATGCTGGGGATCCAGGTCACGGCCCCTTATATGCTACAAGTGACCCACCTCAGAGTGATACTCCTAGTCCTCATTTTTCCTTTCATTCTTTGAACAAAAGAATATAATTTTTTAAAAGATCTATTCTTATTTCATGTGTATGAGTGTTTTGCCTGCATGTATGTGGGTACCATGGGCATGCAGTGCCTTTAGAAGCCAGAAGAGGGTGTCAGATCCCCTAGAACTGGAGTTATATAGACAGTTGAGAGATGCTATGTGGGTGCTGGGACTCGAACCCAGGTCCTCCGGAAGAGCAGCCAGTGTTCCTAACCACTGAGCCATCTCTCCAGCCAAAGAATGTAATCTTTTAGCTTTTTCCTCAGTTGTCACAGTTATTAAGTTGGCCTTCCGTGGTCACATAGAACACAGAATAAATGTGGAGATAGACACATTTTCCTTGAGTGTCCCTTTCTTGTGTTACCAAAGTTAGTTTGTTGGCCCTTGGTGGCTTTTACTTTCGCATTTCCATGGCTTAGCTGGGCTGGATCAGGATAAAGAAACCCCTGGCCATGTCATTCACATGGCACTCACCCAAGTGACCTGTGTGGCTGAGTGATATTTCCCTGGCGTCGTGCTCTGCAGGCCCAGACAGAAAAACAAACCGTTTACCCGGGTTTACTGTTAGCTCGGGTCCATTTAACAGAGCCAGACTTTAAAATGTCAACAGGGTGACTGAGGAGCTTGTTCTGACTCTTCAGTCGAGAGCCCTGAATCCACCCAGGCTCCTTTATGTGATCCGGTCAGGATGACCCAGACTGCACAAAGACACTCCCGACTACTTTTCACATGGGCACTTGCATTTCTATTAAAAGCTGCCTTTTCATTATGGAACTGGAGGCCAGTGACACGGCACAGAATGCAGAGAATGTGCCTGAACATTTTGTGTGGCCCGGAGGAAGGTGGCCCTAGGTACCCAGTTTAAATCACCTCCAGGTATCAGCTATTTGAGTTAACCGTCTAGTATGACTGACTTTTGTAAAACTCTTTCCAATGCTGTGCCAGAGAAGTAAAAGAATTCTGCAGATAAACAGCCAATCATCTCATTTTTAAAATAAGCTCACAATAAAGCAAAATATAATGCTTTTTTGTAGAAAGCGTATTTTCAGTGTTATAAAAAAAATAATAACTGGGTATCAAGGTTTTGAGGTTTTTTGTTTGATTGGTTTGGTTTGGTTTTTGGTTTTTCAAGACAGGGTTTCTCAGTGGAACTGATAGCCATAACCATCCTGGAATTCCATTTGTAGACCAGGCCCGCCTCTGCCTCCCAAGTGCTGGGATTAAAGATGTGCACCACCATGCCCAGTTATCAAGAAAGTCTTCAAATTAATGAATATAGATCCTTCGCAGAAAGAAAAATATTGTTTAATTTAAAACTAAAACGTCATGTAGATGTAGTGTAGATCAGAGAAAATTACTATGCTCATTTACGATAAATTATGTTTTAAAATACTTGATTCTGTGGGTTAAATTTTCTTTCAAAGTTTTAGGGAGGTGCACTTACATTACTTCAGAAATACTTTAGAACTGAAAATATTCTAAGTTTTCAGAATTTAAAGAAAATAAAAAATTATTTTTAATAAAAAATATTGAAGTAATTTCTCTTCTTGTAGTAGCCAAGATTGTTTAATTTTTGAGTTTGGAGCAGTATTGGCGCCCTATGATTTATATTTTTATTCTGTTTTCTTAACCTTCTGCATGAAGTTGTTTGGCCTTTGCAAAGCCCATTAGCTTGCCAGCTTGGTTTGGTTTGGTTTGGTTTGGTTTGGTTTTTTTGAGACAGGGTTTCTCTGTGTAGCTTTGCACCTTTCCTGGAACTCACTCTGTAGCCCAAGCTGGCCTTGAACTCACAGAGACCCGCCTGTGTAGTAGTAGTAGTTCATCCTCACCAGCTGCCACAAGACAGAACTGCATTGTGCAGCTCCAGGAAAAGAACAAAACAAAACAACTTTGCTTTCAAAGGGTGGTCATGATTTGCATAACATTTGCATAACACTGTCCTTTCTAATCTTGTCCCTTTCTGCATATTTAATGAAAAAAACAGAAGCATTCGAAGGGATAGATCCATGTGAAACCAGATAGTTATTTTAGGCATGGCAAAATGTTAGAAGGCACAGTACTTAAGTCAAAATTATTAATAAAATAATTATCTTGATTGCTTTTAATTTCAAAGTGGCCACTTGAATATTACCACTATCTGTAAATTGCATATGGAACTCAACATGTTATTTAGCAGGACAGGACACATCCTTTTATTTAATTATTTTTTTGATAACCTGACCATGATTCATTGTTGAAAATTTTGTCGTGATCAATATAAAGCATGTTTATGCTGTTTTGACCTCAGTAAATATCCTGAGGCGCTTACATGATAATAATAGTAATAAGAATACCTAATGCCTGTGCAATACTTTCCCGTGTCTTGACATAAATTATTTCATATTACTACAAATACAAATGCTGAAAGCCAGTAATGTATTTATCCACATAAGAATTGGAGCGAGTATTAGCTGACCATGCTGGAGTTGCAGCCCTGGCCCTATGGCTCATTGGGCATCTTACATCTACTGCGGTACTTCAGTTTAATAAAAGGTAAAATCTGGCGCTGTCGGCAGACACTGCTGGGGGTCCTCACTTTGGGACCCTTCCCTTGCCCGTCAGGAACGTCTAGTCTAGGGAAACATTACAGACTGCGTTAGTACAGGGGCTGATGTTCTTGGACTCCTCGGTGTAGACCCTCAGAGCAGGGTGTGGAGGGACCTTCAAGGTTCTACACAACCTTCTGCTCATTCGTACATCTCAGTTGTACCCCGCTGTTCAGCCGATGAGAACCCAGCCTCTCAATCCCACCCATTTCAAGGCGATTTGATTTTATGCAGCAGCAGTTTTAGCTAACATGTAGTAAAACACTTGTAATTACATACATCCCAAACTTACAGAAAGTCAAAGATTTTGTTTTGTTTTGTTTTAAACAGGAGGTGCCTCCTCTGTCCTTGTAACTTTCTTAGCATTTTCTTTCTGAGCAGGGAACGAATGTTGACCATTTTTTATGTGGCCACTAGGTGGCAGTAGAGAAAAGAGTAAAATGTCTCTGGCTGGTTTGCCTAAGATTAAAGAGCATGAAGTCAGCCCAGTGTCTCTTCCCCGAG